AAAAAAAAAAAAAAAAAGACTCTTGAATGTCACTATTTACCAGCTCTATGTGCTGCCCCAGGCCCTTTGCTGAAGACAAGTATGAATCCTGTCCCTGAGAGCAGACTGAGGAAGCACAGCCATTAATCTTATAGCACTCCCCCCACCCCTCTGGCTAAATGTCTTGTTACAAACAGGCACCACTGCAGGCATTTTGGTCTAATATGCTTACTGCTGTGTCCCCAGCACTGAGACCATGTTATTTATGTTCAACATAAATGAAGTATGGGCCACATATGTAATTTTAAATTCTCTAGTAGTAATAACAGTAGTAGTAATTTTCATGTTCAAAAGGTAAAACTAGGCCAGACACGATGGCTCATGCCTGTAATCCTACCACTCTGGGAGGCCGAGGCTGGAGGATCGCTTGCGGCCAGCAGTTCAAGACCAGCCTGAGCAACATCGTGAGACCCCGTCTCTACTAAAAATAGAAAAATTATCTGAGTGTGGTGGCGCGTGCCTGTAGTACCACCTACTCAGGAAGCTGAGGCAGGAGGATCGCTTGAGCCCTGGGAGTTTGAGGTTGCTGTGAGCTACGATGATGCCACAGCACTCTACTCAGGCAACAGAGTGAGACCCTGTCTCAGAAAACAAAAAAAAGTAAAACTAAACAGGCGAAATTAATTTTAATAACACATTTTATCCCAGATATCTAAGATATTATAATTACAACATGAAATCATAACGTAAAAATTATTAATGAGCTATCTTACCTTCTTTGTTTCATACTAAGTTTTCAGAATCTGCCGTGTACAGCGCATCTCAGTTCGGATGCTAAGTTTGCATTAGAAATGAACCTGTATTCAGACTTCATAACATTTACAGTTGAAAAAGTAGATTCATGTACCCACGTTGCTCCAGACATACTTTGAAGTTTTCCAATAACTCAGTTGAGTGTCAGTTTTATTATTTAATATTGAAACTAATTAAAATTAAATAAAATTCACCACAGCCAGCCCTAGCAGAATACACATTCTTCTCAAGTGCACATGGAACATTCTCCAGGATAGATCGTATGTTGAAGCATAAAACAAACAAGTCTCAATAAAGTTGAAAGGGTTGAAATCATACAGAGTGTGTTCTCTGACCACACTGGAATGAAATTGGAAATCAGTAACAGAGTGAAATCTGGGAAATTCACAAACACGTGGAAAGGAAACAACTTACTTCTGAATAACCAATGGATCAAGGGAGAAATCACAAGCGAAATGGACACAGCCTGGCACAGGGTAGGTAGTCAGTAAATGTTTGTTGAATGAACAAGTGAACGGAGAAAGCCAGTGGGCACATCTTGCCCTACCACCCACAACTTTGCAGTCACGCTATGCCTACGCTGCGTCCCATCCTGAATGTCCAGACTGGGGCCTTTGAGGGAGAATGTTACAGTATCTCATTGCCCTTCCAGAAAGTTTGAGAACATCTACATTGGCTGGGGCCACAAGTACAGCCCTGACAACTTCAACCCGGCCCTACCAGCCTCCATTCAGCAAGAGTATCCCAGTGGCCCGGAGATCATGGAGATGAGCGACCCCACGGTGGAAGAGGAGCAGGACCTCAAGGCTGCCCAGGAGCAGGCCCTGGCCACAGCAGAGGAGGAGGAGGAGGATGAGGAGGAAGATGAGGATGAGGACCAGGATGACTGAGGCCTCTAGCCACTTCCCCCAAGCAGGTCGATAGCTGTCTGTCCCTTATATGTAGTTAGTATGGGTTATATTTCCATTGCTGGTTTGTTTCCTGCCCCTGGAGGGCAGGAGTAAAAGAGGAAGGCAACTGCTCCAAATAAAACTTCCCCATGGCGTTATGGCCGAGTCATTTATTCACTTGTTTGCCACATTTTTTTGACTTGGACTCCAGTCCAGGGCTGTCGGGCCCTGTGGGGGGCACAGATGTTGCCTGGCAGAGTCTCTCCCACCTGTTTCACTTACTCATTCATCGAGCCATCAAACAATTATTGAAGTGCCTCCTAGCAGCCCAGCCCTGTGCTGGGGACACAGAGATGCCCAAGCAGCCCCTGCCCTGCCTTCCCGGGGCTCGTATGCCATAGGGAAGACAGACTCCTCCCCAGACAATGACAACCCAGACTGGGGAGCCTAAAGGACTAACAGAGCTCCTGAGCCAACTCTTAAAGGGTCAACAAAAGAATGGGAAGGGCATTCCAAGCATAGGGAACAGCATGTGCAAAGACCCAAGGGCGAGAGAGTGTGATCTGTTGGGGTAGTCTCTCAAACCTCATTTTAGGTGGCACATATTGTGAGTGGTTGCGGTGAGAAATGAGATTGAAAAGAGAGGTTGGCATGGGCCAGATCACTCAGGACTTAACTTGGCCCTGAGAGCACTAGCGAGCCACAGATGGGTTTTGAGCAGGTGAGGGCCCTGATCACGTGCTTTAGAAAGACCCCTCTAGATGCCAAGTGAAAGGTGGATAGGAGGGGTAAGACAGTAGTCTGGGAGACCAAAGACAAGGCTTATGGGGGGGGGTGGTCTTGGGTAGAAGAGGAGTTTGGACCAGTCCTGTAGAGAGGAAGAACGTGGGAAAGAGGAAATCTAATGGCAGAATGCAAGACTTAGGGACTGGAAGTGGGGTTGTTGGGGGTGAGGTGAAGAGAAATGATACAAATCTAGGAAGACACCCAGGTCTGTGGCCTGGTTGACTGAGTGGATGGCAGAGGTAGCCCTAAGACGAGGACACAGGAGAGGAATAGGATTTGGAGTAAGATGTCAAGTTCATTGTAGAATTTGTTGAGTGTGAAATGCCTCTGGGACATTCCAGTGAGAAATCTGGGAGGCCACTGAGTAAGTGAGTCCAGGGAGTTCTGCATAGGGGGCAGGGCCGCCGCAGCAGAAGGGTGGAGCACTGGCTGTCAGTGCGGGCCGTTGGGGTCAGGGGAAGACTTGGGGTTACTAGTGGATCATTGGGATACTGGGGGCATTGTGGGGATCAACAAAATTTTGGAAACAGAGGTAGGTTTTAGAGAATGAGTGAGGTTGTTGAAGATAGTAAAGTCATGGAGATGTATCTTGGAGGTGGGTGGAAAATATGGAGGATGTTTGCGGTTAGCCTTAATCAGTTATAGGTCAGATGAAGTCCTTGGAGTTTTGTGGAAACATTAGGGACAGCGGGGATTTGGCGGATCATCAAGGGTGGGGAGCAATGGTTAGAGATGCTGTGGTCAGCTGGGGACTTTAAGATGTCAGTGGGAAACACAGAAGGTCAGGAGGGTGTATATTGGGAGTCTAAGGAGACATTAGGGTCACCTGGGGTCAGCTGTGACGTCGTGGTAAGGCTTAAATATGGCTGAGGCTTTCTCTTGCGGGGGTCCCTCCGTTGCTAGGCAAACCGTTCCCCGGGCGCGGTTGCTAGGGACTTGAGCTTTCTCATTGACCACGCCCCTTTCCACTGCGGGCCCCGCCCCTGCAGCCAACCACAAGTCGGTCGAGGGCGCGAAGGCCGCGCCCACCTTCTAGCCCCGCCCACAGCTCCAGAACCCTTATCCGAGCGACGGCAGGGGTTCGGCCCGCCTCCGGCCAGGGGTGCCAATCGAAGAGGCGTCGCCCGGGCAACGACCCCACCTTTTCCGGTGTGGGTCCGCGGCTTCCGGCGGAGGGCCTGGCGGCGGGCGGCGGTCAGGCTGCGGCGGGGCCCGGGGGGCGCCCAAGATGGCGGCGGGCGGCGCGGAGGGTGGCTCGGGCCCCGGCGCCGCCATGGGGGACTGCGCGGAGATCAAGTCGCAGTTCCGCACCCGCGAGGGCTTCTACAAGCTGCTCCCCGGCGACGGCGCGGCTCGCAGGTCCGGTCCTGCTTCTGCCCAGACCCCGGCGCCGCCCCAGCCGCCGCAGCCCCCGCCCGGCCCTCCCTCCGCCTCCGGCCCCGGCGCTGCGGGCCCAGCCTCGTCCCCACCGCCCGCAGGCCCTGGGCCCGGGCCCGCGCTGCCCGCCGTGCGCCTCAGCCTCGTGCGCCTTGGGGAGCCGGACAGCGCCGGGGCCGGGGAGCCACCCGCCACGCCCGCGGGGCTGGGCGCGGGGGGAGACCGCGTCTGCTTCAACTTGGGCCGGGAGCTCTATTTCTACCCGGGCTGCTGTCGTCGCGGGAGCCAACGGGTGAGCGGCCTGCATCGTGGGGCCTTGCGTGCTGAGAGGATGGGAGTCCCAGAGAAGTGATAGGGGGGTCCCCGAATTCACACGGGGCCCTGAGATAGGCATCCTAGATGTGATGGACTTCCCCAGGGGGACAGGATTCTTGGAGGTAACGCAGGATTCTGAAAGGTGATGGGAGGCCTCCGGGGTGCTGGGATCCTGGAGCTGATGGGCGAATCCCCCTTCCCCGTTATGCGTAGGGGTTCTGGGATGGAGAGTGTTCTGGACGTGATGGTGCCTCTGAGACGATGTGGTATCCCTCAGATTCTGGGGTGGCAGGCTTTCTGCAGGTGATGGGAACTCCTGAGCTGATGCAGGCTCAGAGGTGATGGAGAACCCAGAATTATTGCAGCGTGGAGGTGTTGGGAGGGGTCTTGAGACTCGGGGAGCCCAGACATGAGGGGAATTCTGGAAGTGATGGAGGCCTTAGGGGTAATAGGGATCCAGGAGCTGAATGGGATCCTAGAGAAAAATAGAGGCCTGGAGATGTTGAGCGTCCTGGAGGAAATGAGAATCTCTAGGCTGACGGGATTGCTGAAGGGGGTGAGAGGCCCTGGTGGGAGAAATCCTCAGGTGGGATGGGTGCCCTTAAGGTGCTGTATGTCCCAGAGGGGTGAGACCCCCTGGAGTTTATGGTGGTCCCCAGAGGAATGGGGACCCTAAGAGCTGAGAAGTGATGAGTATCCCTAAAACGTGGGGGAGCATGAGGTTCGATGGGTCCCTGAATGGTGATGAGGGTCCTGGGGTTTAGGGACTCCAAAGTGAGGGTAATCCTAGGATGCTGGGCTTTAGAGCCCTGGGGATTTGGATGACCCCAGGGCCTTGGGGTCTTGGAATATTTTGGTACTAAGTCCCAAGGGAGTTGCTGAGGTTGTGGGGGCGGGACTGGAAAGGAATCGGGGAGCCCAGGGACTATGAGGACCCTGAACCCTGATGCTGTGGGCAAGAGTGTCCCTGAAGTCGGGGTTGGGGAGTCCAACTCTGGGGAAGCACTGTGGTCTTTGGGGGTGCCCTTACAGTCCTTTTCTCCTCCTCTGTCTGTGATTCGGATCCCTTTCCTGTCTGTGGTCGTCCCCTCTCTCCCCACCCACCTATCCTCCTACCCACTTCCCTTGGGGATTCGACTCTGCTTCCTCTTAGTGGTTTTCCCCAACCTCAGCACCCTCTTCCTTCCTCTCAGTGGTATACGCCATTAACTCCTTTTCTCCCGCCACTCAAGTCCATCGACCTCAACAAGCCAATCGACAAGCGGATCTACAAGGGCACCCAGCCCACCTGCCATGACTTCAACCAGTTCACTGCTGCCACGGAGACCATCTCCTTGCTGGTGGGCTTCTCGGCTGGCCAGGTGCAGTACCTGGATCTCATCAAGAAGGACACCAGCAAGCTATTCAATGAGGAGGTGATTGCGGCCCCCGGAGCCCAGAACTGCTCCCCCATCCCACCCTCACACTGTTTGCCATTAGGCTGCAGCTGCCCAGGGAGCAACGTAGGCCTGAGAGGGGTGGGATGAGGGAGAGATGGGGAATGGGGCCACAGCAACTAGTAATGACAGCTGCGCCCAGGCCCTGTGCTATATTAGCTCTGTGCCAAACACTTTATGTACTCCTTGAGTTTTCATCAACCAGTGGATAAGGAGTTGTGATGCCCATTTTGCAGATTAGAGAACTGAGGCTAGTAACTGATTGGGACTTATCTGATGCCCTTACTTTTCAAAGCCTGGGCTCCATGGGCTTTGTATTCAAACCCTGCCACACCATTTACTCACCATGTGTATTTGGGAAGGTCACTGTTCTCTGAGCCTCACTTTTCCTCTTCTGCAAAATGGGATTCTCAGCCCTACCTCACAGGACTGCGGCTGTAAAATCATACATGGAGATTGCTCAGTCCTGGGCCAACTTGGCACATGAGGAAATGCCAGCGAATGACCTTATCCGCCGCCAAGGACTGCTTTTGTCCTGTATCTAGTTCTCTCTGGTCCCGAAGAGGTGTTCCAAAAATATTCTCAGAATAAGCAAATGGCTGAAGAAAGTGAGTAGAACTATGAATGGATTAAAAATTCATCAACTAGTTATTGAGCATCCATTCTGTGCCGGGCACTGTTCCGAGCACTAGGGAGATCACATTTCAGGGGACTGACCGGACAGAAGGCCCTGCCCCCTTGGAGCTTTCGGTCTCGCTGGGGAGACAGACAGTCTTACCAAGTTCAGTATACTGGATGCCAGCAGGTGTTATGGCCCGTGGAGAAAAATCGATCAGGGAAAGTGGCTGAGGGGTGCTTGGTGAGTTTGATAGACTGGTCAGGAAAGGCCTCACTGGGAGGTGATCGGGAAACAAAGACCTGAAGGAGGTGAGAAAAGTTACTTGGGGAAGGACATTGAGTGGAGGGGACAGCTAGTACAACCGCCCCGAAGCAGGACGGCAGAAAGGCCCGTGTGGCCAGAGCAGCGATTGAGGGAGAGAGGATAGCAGATGAGTTTCACGAAATAACGGAGGGGCCAGAGGGGCCGGCTCGTGCAGAGTCTGGAAGCCCATGGAAAAGACTTTGCCTTTCTCAACCAGAGCTCACCTGCGCCACAGAAGGCAGAAATGATTCAAGGGATTATCTGCTCAGTGTTCCCAAGAATGAGAGGCAGCTCCGATCCCAGGGAGAGGAGTTCGTTGATGGTGGGTGGTGGCTGCCCGAGGGCGTTAGCGCTCTGATCTCGGGAGTCCTGGCTGAGAGGCTGCGCTGTGTTCAGAGCAGGACAGGGCCAGGTGCTGGCTGGTACTTAACAGCATCTCTCTGGCACCTGCTGAGAATAAGCAGGCCGCGGGAGGGGCGGCCTGGAGGCCTGTTAGGCGGCATTGCAGGCTTGATGGCGCCTGCGACTGGGCTGGTGAGACGAGGTCAGGTTCTGGGTGTAGTTTGAAGGTCGAACCCACAGGATTTGTTGAGGGATCGAATGTGAGTTGTGAGGAAAGGAGGGACAGAGACGCCTAGGTTGTTTTTTGGTTTTTTTTTTTTTTTTT